CTGGGCTAAGCCACTGTCCTGCCTGACCAGAGCAGCCCGTGCTCCCCAGGCAGCATAAGCCTGCGGTGGGCACAAAGAGCCTCTGCGACCCACTGCACCCAAAGGGTAGGAAGAAGCCCAGAGACCAGTCGTGAGGTCCCTCCGTACCAGTTACCCTCCTTTGCATTTACACAGCACCTCCCAGCAGAAAAGGTGTCCGGTTCCTCTCACTGAGACATCAAGCGCCTCCCATCTCAGCCTTGTAAAGTGATAATAGGTGCCAAGTAAAGGCTTGTCATAAATCTCAGTGTGAGGATCTCAGGCTTTAGAAAAGTAGGTATTAATTCAGTTTTTCAGATTAATAAACAGTTGTGCAAGAAAAGCTAAATAATTTCTCCAAGGTCCAGGAAAAAAGGCACAGAGTAAACTGAGGTGCTTTGGTTTCTCCCCCCACCCCTGCGTAAAACTTTGTCTTGGCATTTTGTTGCTGTCTTTACTTGGGGGGAGAAACAGGAAAACACCGGGCAGAAGAGGCATCAGATACTGCTTAGACAGGGGCAGAGGAGGCAAAACAATGGTGTGAACTCTGAATTTCCAGTTCCTGAGTCTGCCTTTAAATTCTGGGTCTGCACACTGCAGCTTCCCACCCTGGCACCATGGGGTGCAGAGTATTTGCTGGAAGGGTCTGCAGCAGCCCGGCAGCCCTTGGTCCTTGGAGAAGCCTTTGTGCTTCAGGCCATAGCGTCAGTGGCAGCAGCAGCATCCTCCATCTCATCGAATGAGGTGTGTTGGCTGTTCACCATCTGGTGGGAAGGGAGCGGATGTAGGGGCTGCGGACGGGGTGTGGGCGGACACAGCTTCTCTTTGGGTTTTGTTCTGGAGGATGCAGGAGCCCTTTCCTGGAGCATAAGGCAGTGACATACCCTGCAGCTGCTAGTCTCTGCGCTCCTGTCCCATTTTATTGGATGGGACACAGAAAAGTATCACACATTTAGAGAGGATCTTTCATTCTCTGTATGGTCACAAAAAGGTTGTTAAGGATTTCCTCTGTGTTACTTGCCCTAAGGGCGGATGTCGCAGCTCTGGTGTCTTGACAAAGTTATAAGAAAGGATTTCGGGTCCGAGATCTCAGTTGGCAGAGGGCAATTCTTCTGGTGAAATTTGGATTGTATCAAATAAAACTTGACCTTTTCAGTGCATTTGTATTTTCCACCTTGCCAAGGAGCCCAGGATCCGCTTCAGCTCCAGGGCTGTGGAGCACGGGCTGAGTCACAGGAGACCATTAATTCTCATCACTTTTTACAACTGTAAAGTACTATCGAGCGCTTTATTGAACAGGTCAAAGCACTGTTCCTGGTCTCCGAGTGCTGTGTGCCATGTGTGCCCGCACACAGCAGCCCACGGTCACTGTCTGGAGCTGGCAGCTCCAGAAAATCAATGGTAAGAGAAATCGAGGTTATCCCTCATTTCCCTTCCCAGCAATCTGCATACCGTGCCCTTTGCAGCCCGTGTAGCCTGGGAGCATCACCCTTGGGCTCCTGCTGTGGCTTTTAGGGTGTTCATGGTTTCATGGTGCACCCAGGAGTAGGTCGATGCCAGCGGTGTGGCGCTGAGGCAGCCCCCATTCTTGGAGAATCCAGGTTTCACCTCAAAAGGCATAAAACAATGCAAGATCTCCAGCCCAGCAGAAAATCAGTCCCACTCCCCTGTATCCTCCAGTGGGATCTGAGCTGCTTCCTGGTGCCCGTTCACCAGTGGTGTGCGTGGGGATGTGATGTTACTGGTTTAGCCTGGCGTTCTGTCTCGGCTGCACCGAAAGCACCGGTTTGTGCGGGATGACGCCACCGGCCCGCGGGGAGGTCTCAGGGCGCAGCAGCGACGGGTGAGTGACCGAGGGGTGCTGGAGCCATGAGGGTGGCTGCATTTGGCTGTTCTATTTCTCACTGGGCACGTTGTAGCAAAAGGAGACATTTTACAGTAGCCTGTACCATGTAGAAAGAAAATAATTTTTTAAAGGAAAACGCCGCAGTAACTGCCTCCTCCCCCCCCGAAAAAGGGCAGCAATTTTTAACAGAGAGATGCACAAAAAGCATAGCTCAGGTCCCTCCAAGGAAGGCACAGATTTGTTCCTGAGGGAATAAATACGACTGCAGGACTCTGACTTCGTAGCCAAATTATCAGCAATTAAATGCATTTCCTGGCTTTGGGGCACCATGGGGTGCAGAGTATTTGCTGGAAGGGTCTGCAGCAGCCCGGCAGCCCTTGGTCCTTGGAGAAGCCTTTGTGCTTCAGGCCATAGCGTCAGTGGCAGCAGCAGCATCCTCCATCTCATCGAATGAGGTGTGTTGGCTGTTCACCATCTGGTGGGAAGGGAGCGGATGTAGGGGCTGCGGACGGGGTGTGGGCGGACACAGCTTCTCTTTGGGTTTTGTTCTGGAGGATGCAGGAGCCCTTTCCTGGAGCATAAGGCAGTGACATACCCTGCAGCTGCTAGTCTCTGCGCTCCTGTCCCATTTTATTGGATGGGACACAGAAAAGTATCACACATTTAGAGAGGATCTTTCATTCTCTGTATGGTCACAAAAAGGTTGTTAAGGATTTCCTCTGTGTTACTTGCCCTAAGGGCGGATGTCGCAGCTCTGGTGTCTTGACAAAGTTATAAGAAAGGATTTCGGGTCCGAGATCTCAGTTGGCAGAGGGCAATTCTTCTGGTGAAATTTGGATTGTATCAAATAAAACTTGACCTTTTCAGTGCATTTGTATTTTCCACCTTGCCAAGGAGCCCAGGATCCGCTTCAGCTCCAGGGCTGTGGAGCACGGGCTGAGTCACAGGAGACCATTAATTCTCATCACTTTTTACAACTGTAAAGTACTATCGAGCGCTTTATTGAACAGGTCAAAGCACTGTTCCTGGTCTCCGAGTGCTGTGTGCCATGTGTGCCCGCACACAGCAGCCCACGGTCACTGTCTGGAGCTGGCAGCTCCAGAAAATCAATGGTAAGAGAAATCGAGGTTATCCCTCATTTCCCTTCCCAGCAATCTGCATACCGTGCCCTTTGCAGCCCGTGTAGCCTGGGAGCATCACCCTTGGGCTCCTGCTGTGGCTTTTAGGGTGTTCATGGTTTCATGGTGCACCCAGGAGTAGGTCGATGCCAGCGGTGTGGCGCTGAGGCAGCCCCCATTCTTGGAGAATCCAGGTTTCACCTCAAAAGGCATAAAACAATGCAAGATCTCCAGCCCAGCAGAAAATCAGTCCCACTCCCCTGTATCCTCCAGTGGGATCTGAGCTGCTTCCTGGTGCCCGTTCACCAGTGGTGTGCGTGGGGATGTGATGTTACTGGTTTAGCCTGGCGTTCTGTCTCGGCTGCACCGAAAGCACCGGTTTGTGCGGGATGACGCCACCGGCCCGCGGGGAGGTCTCAGGGCGCAGCAGCGACGGGTGAGTGACCGAGGGGTGCTGGAGCCATGAGGGTGGCTGCATTTGGCTGTTCTATTTCTCACTGGGCACGTTGTAGCAAAAGGAGACATTTTACAGTAGCCTGTACCATGTAGAAAGAAAATAATTTTTTAAAGGAAAACGCCGCAGTAACTGCCTCCTCCCCCCCCGAAAAAGGGCAGCAATTTTTAACAGAGAGATGCACAAAAAGCATAGCTCAGGTCCCTCCAAGGAAGGCACAGATTTGTTCCTGAGGGAATAAATACGACTGCAGGACTCTGACTTCGTAGCCAAATTATCAGCAATTAAATGCATTTCCTGGCTTTGGACGGCAGTCCTTGCTCTTTCAGCAAATCTTTCTACAAACACAGGCTGGCGGGGCAGAGCGGCTGCGGCGGCAGGAGCTGGCGCGAAACGGGAGGCGAGAGGGTCGTTAACGCGTCCTGCGGCACGGCCGGGGTTTGACACCGTCCCCGCACCGGCGCTGCGGGCTCCGGGGCCCGCGAAGCCCTTCCCGGGGCGCAGGAGCTGTCCCTGCCCGGGACCGGCCCCGAGCGCCTTCTGCCGCCGCCCCTCCCAGGGGCACGCCCCCTCCCAGGGGCACGCCCCCTCCCAGGGGCACGCCCCCTCCCAGGGGCACGCCCCCTCCCAGGGGCACGCCCCCTCCCAGGGGCACGCCCCCTCCCAGGGGCACGCCCCCTCCCAGGGGCACGCCCCCTCCCAGGGGCACGCCCCCTCCCAGGGGCACGCCCCCTCCCAGGGGCACGCCCCCTCCCAGGGGCACGCCCCCTCCCAGGGGCACGCCCCCTCCCAGGGGCACGCCCCCTCCCAGGGGCACGCCCCCTCCCAGGGGCACGCCCCCTCCCAGGGGCACGCCCCCTCCCAGGGGCACGCCCCCTCCCAGGGGCACGCCCCCTCCCAGGGGCACGCCCCCTCCCAGGGGCACGCCCCCTCCCAGGGGCACGCCCCCTCCCAGGGGCACGCCCCCTCCCAGGGGCACGCCCCCTCCCAGGGGCACGCCCCCTCCCAGGGGCACGCCCCCTCCCAGGGGCACGCCCCCTCCCAGGGGCACGCCCCCTCCCAGGGGCACGCCCCCTCCCAGGGGCACGCCCCCTCCCAGGGGCACGCCCCCTCCCAGGGGCACGCCCCCTCCCAGGGGCACGCCCCCTCCCAGGGGCACGCCCCCTCCCAGGGGCACGCCCCCTCCCAGGGGCACGCCCCCTCCCAGGGGCACGCCCCCTCCCAGGGGCACGCCCCCTCCCAGGGGCACGCCCCCTCCCAGGGGCACGCCCCCTCCCAGGGGCACGCCCCCTCCCAGGGGCACGCCCCCTCCCAGGGGCACGCCCCCTCCCAGGGGCACGCCCCCTCCCAGGGGCACGCCCCCTCCCAGGGGCACGCCCCCTCCCAGGGGCACGCCCCCTCCCAGGGGCACGCCCCCTCCCAGGGGCACGCCCCCTCCCAGGGGCACGCCCCCTCCCAGGGGCACGCCCCCTCCCAGGGGCACGCCCCCTCCCAGGGGCACGCCCCCCGCGCGCGGCGGAAGGCGTCCTTCCCTTCCCTTCCGGCGGCGTTTTGGCGCGCGGGGCTGGGTCGGGGGGCGCCCGCCATGTCCCGCTCGGAGCTGCCGCCCGCCGAGCCGGGCGCCGCCATCGAGCGGCTCTGCCAGGAGCTCAACCTGGATGCGGCCAGCGCTGCCGAGGCGCTGCGCGACTTCACGGCGCTCCGGGGCACCTACAGCCTGGAGGTGAGCGGGGCGGGCGGGGCGGTGGCGGCCGTTCGGCCCTGTCAGGGGCGGAGCGGGGCGAGGGTTCGCCCGCACCCGCGGTGTCCCCCGCCCGCAGCCGGCGCTGCCCCTGGCTCTAGGCGAGTGTACGTGCGGATGTATCGAGCCAGGCGGGGCGGTGCCCCCCGCGCCGCTGACCGTCCCTCCGTCCGCAGGGCGAGGCGCTGCACTGGCTGGCCTGCGCCCTCTATGTCGCCTGCCGCAAGAGCCTGGTGCCCACCGTGGGGAGCGGCCTGATGGAGGGGAACGGCGTGTCGCTGACCAGGATCCTGCGCTCCGCCAGGCTCAGGTGAGCTGCTCGTTGCTGGGGCTCAGCGGCCGCCCGGTCCCTGCTCCCCTCGGGCCGCGAGTTCGGGTCCCGCTCCTGTTCTCGTGGCTCCGAGCGCCGCAAAACGCGTGTCCCGAGGTAACACTGCAAAAGCAATAAATCCTCTTGTTAAAAATGGAAATCAGATGCAAATACGTAATTTTGAACGTCAGGCCTTTGAAAAGCTACCCACATCAGACCAGAATTGTTCTGCCCACGCTGCTCGCTCCCTTTCCTTTTTGTGGTCAATTGAAACACAAACAAGGCCCCTGGGTGTTCCCTCAGCGCTCCAGGAATGGCTCGTGCCTGGTTCGGGCCAGGTCTCCTGGCACACTGCTGAGGGCGATGCCCCGCGGCGCCCTGGGAACCCAGAGCTGTGCCCTCCTGTCAGGGTTGAGGTACCAGGGGGGCTCTGCCTGCCAGCTCCGCTTTCCGCCATCGCCCTGACCCGAGGTGACACAACTGGAGATGCTGCTCCTTCCACCCAGGGACTTGTGCTCTGCTCTTGGCTGAGCTGCCAGGGCTGGGGTTGCCAACACCTACAGTTAACGGGGAGGTTGTGTAGGGAACTCCTGTTTGCGGTTTTGTTGCTTCTCCTGCCTCCACCTTGACACCCGCAGAGCTGTGCGAGCTCTTTCCTTTCTGCCTGTGCCTTAAAGAGTCAAGGAGAAAAAACAAAGTGATAAAAAGCGAAAAGCTTAAATACAGTCCAAGAGTCTATCAGAATAAATGGTAAACCTATGTAGTAATCAAGTTAGTCATTAAGGAGTAAATACATTCCATTTTAGCATTTGAAAAGCTTCAGAATAAAGGAAGTTAGTTAAAGCTCAAAATAAAGCCAACTTTTCTTTTTTCTTTTAAGTTTAATTCAGTTTTTTAGCAAAATGAAGAAGTGGATGGACATGTCAAATCTACCACAGGAATTCCGAGAACGAGTGGAGAGACTGGAGAGAAATTTTGAAGTGTCAACTGTGATTTTCAAAAAGTTTGAACCGATATTTTTGGATATATTTCAAAACCCTTATGAAGAAACGTTGAAACCCCAGCGAAGCAGGAAACAGAGGTATTTTTGAGATTTAATGGGACTTTTCTCTGGAAAGGGCTGTACCCAATAGTGATTTAGGAAAATTAAGATCATTATTTGTGCTTTAAAAAGTGATGTAAAGTTCCAGGGGGATAGGGCCTCTCTGTGGCCTTGATTCTGAAAAGCAGTGAATACTGAGACATCCCTGATCTTGATGGGGTTCATGTCAGCAGGGCTTTGCACCTCCTGGCTGTTTGTGCAGGTCACTGTAAGGTGCAGGAACTGGTCCCTAGGGAGAGGTTCAGTGAGACAGATTCACTTGAGATACAGCAAGACTGACATTTAAAACATTCAGCAGAAATAACTGAAGTAGCATGGGGAAATTTTGTCTTGGCAAAGTGATGTCAGAGGTAGTTGGTATCATGACATAATCCTTCCGCTCAGAGCAGCATTACATCCGCAGTGGCCTCCACATTTCTAGATTTGTAGTGTGATTGCCAGATGAGTGGTAATAGCAGATAGAAAAAGTTACAGCTGATGCACTCATTTTTGAGACAGACTAGAAACTGGTGGTGTCGCCTTCCAGGTATGCACAGAACTTCTGCCTTAATTAAAGGAGCTTGTCCGTATTCCTTGCCGACTGTGCAGCCATCTCTGTGGCAGCTTTTAGTGAGAGTGTAACCTTAATGATGAGGGAGCCGAGCTGGGTCTGTGTGAGGTGTTTTTGCCAGCTCTCCTGTGTCCTTGGGATGTGAGAGGGGAGAATTGTTCTGGTAAAAGCTCCAGCGTAGCTGCACGTCTGCAGATAGAAAGGAGAATTCTGCTGCTACAGCCCTGCATGTAGGGAAGGTTCCTTTGTGGGCATCACTGTGTGTTGGGAGAAATTTTGTCAGTATGTTCTGTTAATGTTCCTTCATTGGAGCAGCAGTCATTAGTATAACCACAGCTTTAACTTCCCTGTGGGCTGTCTTGAGTAATGCCTTCCCTCATCTTCCAGAGCCATGGTTTTGGATCACTTCTACTCCAAAGACAGTTCAGCAGATGAGCTGTAATACAAGCTGTGGTTGCATATTTTGAAGGGAGAAGGGATGAGTGATGCTTTAATAAAATATTTGGGGAAAACCAAAAGCCATCACTGGAATTTATACAGCCCGTGGCATCTCATTGCCTGCAGCTGTGGCAGGATTCTGTTATAGATGAAACACCAGCAAAACAGAGTGTGCAGGGTCACAAGCCAAAAGCAGCTGTTAGCCCAAAAAAGGGTAATCGGCAAAACGCTCCATGGAGCAAGGTAGGAGACTATGGGTTAGTGAAAGCTGAAATAAGGACATGTAGCTTAGACTGTGCTTTAGTGTGACATTGAGATAGAGAATGTCTCTGACCATTATTTTGGGCAAGGAAACGGAATGAAATTCTTACTGTAAAACAAGCTTCAGCTTCCTGGAACTGAAGACTGACTTCTCCCCTTTTCCTCATCGACAGACGGATGCCATGCGGTATTAAAGATCTCTTCAACTTCTGCTGGACTCTCTTTGTGTACACTAAGGGTAGGCCTGCTTAACTGCACGGTTTGTATACGTTTTTAGTTGTGAACTTCTTTTGTGTTGTTTGATGTGATATGCTGTCTCTTAAAGGTAATTTCCGTATGATTGGAGATGATTTAGTAAATTCCTATCATTTGCTTCTGTGCTGCTTGGACCTGATTTTTGCAAATGCCCTTTTGTGTCCAAATAGAAGAGCGTTGCTAAATCCATCGTTTAAAGGTATGGTGGGGACAGAATATTTAAAATAAAATATGCTTTGTTCTCTTGTTTCTTTTTAAATGAAGTTGAAGTTTGGTTGTTGCTTTGTTTTTTTCCTCCCCTTTTGCCCCTTATTCTCAGGCTTGCCAGTGGACTTCCCCATGACAGAGATCAAAGCCTCTGAAGATCCTCCTTGCATCATTGCCACACTATGTGAGCTGCATGATGGGCTTTTAGTAGAAGCAAAAGGAATAAAGGAACACTACTTTAAACCATACATTTCAAAACTATTTGATAGGAAGGTACATCTCACTAGTTTTAAGAATGCATGGTGGCACTAAGGTGAATGATGTTGAGGTCATTTAAATTCTGCAGGAAAGTGAACTTGGGCTGAGTCAGGGTTTCTTTGTCTGTATTTCAGCAGGAGCAGAATTTACGTTCGCTTCTAATGATGTATGCTGAGTGGTTCCCTGCATTTTGGCTTTTGTGTCAGTGGAGAATCTTTGCTTTCACTTCTTAGCAGTGTGAAACTGAATTGTGAACAATAATACATTTTTCAGGCAAAAAAGTAATCTCATTGTGAAATAATTTTATGGAATAACTGTCACAATAGCGTGGGTCCTATTCCTTGTCTCAGAGCTGAGCAAAATGCTTTGGAAGGAAGAGGCTGAGGTTACAGGTGTACAAATTGTTCTATCTGGTCCTCATCCTGGAAATTTTTTCAAAGCTGTGTGGAAATTTCTGTGTAGTTGTTCTTCAGGTCAGTCTCTAACCTGCCAGTGGAACAGATGTTAAATAGCAGTACTGGTTATGAAGAGTGGGTTTATCTAGAGCTTGGGTAGAATTGGGCTTTGTCCTCATCTGTTTGTCTTGCTAATGGCATTGTAGTCTGGTCTAGGCAAAAAAAAAAGTCCAGATACGCTCCTAAATCTAATTTCTTTTTTGGCTCATACTGTTAAGAGTTGTAACAGTTTTGATTTTTTATTTTTTTTTTATGTAAGATATTTCTGCTTTTTATTCTTAGATCTTAAAAGGAGAATGTCTGTTGGATCTCTGCAGTTTTACAGAAAATAAGTGAGTTATGGTTTATGTTTTTAATCATGGGGTTTGGTTTAGTTTCTAAAATACAGGCCTTTGAATGCTAAGTTTCAGATTTTCCTGTTGTCTTCCCATAAATGCTTTTTAATTATTTGACAATCAAAGCTGCTATCTGGCTGAAATACTTTCTGGACCTGAGATATGTCAAATGTCAGGGGATGAGCTGCAGAGTTTCTTCCTTAATGTCAGGTTTTGGGGTGCTTGCTCTTATTTTCTGACAGCCGTGACCTTTGACTAATCTAATGCAAATCAAAACCTTGACTCCGAATTTCACAGATTTGTTTCTGTACGCACCTCAAATATACCTGAGCAGGGAAGTCTTTAGATTTGTTTATCAGTCTCTAGTTGAGTGTATAAATCTGTGAATGCAATTCAAAAGAAAAAGCAGCAACAATTTCAAAACCACAAAAAGGAGGTAGAGCATTTCTGTGGGAAGCAAATACAGTTGTTTCAGAAACTTTTAAAATTCACTTCTGAAAGCTAATTTAAATGCAAAATATGAACAGCAACTGGATACCTTAAAGGTGGGGGATTTTGCCTCTTCTAAAAATACCTAATTTGTTTTTGCAAGGTGAGTTTTTTAACTTGCTGGCTTGCTTTGAGAATTTTGAGTGAAGACTCAACTGTTTTAACAATGTAGATAACACTCAAATTTGGATATGAAACAATATTGCTGTGATTTGTTTAAAGCAGTGAACTTCTCTTAGTATTTCTACTTAAAAATAAATTACTTTAGCAATACTGTCAATGTGGAATGACACAGTAGTCCATGTTCTTTTGTAAGTAGCTTTACATCTAAAGGAAACCTGGAAGCCTCTCTGTTTCTTTGTCCAAACTTTTCATTGACCTTTACTTTCTCTAAAAGAACCTGTGATGTAGTCAGGCTTCCTGTAGCATCACAGAATCGCTTGCATCATGAATACGTTATGTTCCATTAATAGACATGCTTAAGTGGTAGCTTGAATTGCTAAGACACTTTGCAGGCAAAAGGTATTTTGTGTATCATTCATGTGTCATGAAAAACGTGCAAGCAGGATTTATTGACATGAGCTGTTTCTGATTTTTATCCAAAAGTTTCATTCTGCATCCTTAGTATGTTTAAAGCTTTGCAACCTTTGTGAGGTTAAATGTTCCTGCTTTACAGTTGGGTTAGCTGGAATAAAGAAAATGGAAGATTTGTTTGGTGTCATATGTCAGTGGTGATTTTAGAAATGGAATCCAGGCAGCTAGCTCTTAAATTTCCCTTCCTCTGTGAATTCCTCATAATTCCCCTAATTATGAAAATTACAGGCTATGAAGTGGCAAAAGTAGGAATCAAATATAGCTAGTTTAATGCAACTGCTGTTAATGTGCTCTGTATACAAAGATTTAACCTCTGATCAGTTGAGTACTTCCAAACTGGGTTATTCCCAACTGGGATGGAAACCAAGCTGTTTTTTTTCCTCTTCTTATTGAGAGCCAGGAGTTGGAGGTACCATAGGAGGGAGAGCGGTCCCTGCAGTGGATCATTGAGGGGACTGGGAGGTGTGGGTACATGGGAAGGCAGGGATGGCCCCAGGTGGACCTGTTGGGGAAGGGAGGTTGTGTTTCCAAGCAGCACCAGTGGCAGCACGTGTTGGGTTTGGTTTTATACCTCGGCTCCACTGGAACCTGTTATGTTTCTTCACCAGTTTAACCTTTGATATAAAACCTGATCTTCTCTTCCAGCAAAGCACTGAATAAAGAGTATGAAGAGTATGTTCTGACAGTGGGTGACTTTGACGAGAGAGTTTTCCTTGGAGCTGATGCTGAAGAAGAAATTGGCACTCCTCGAAAATTTCCTGCAGATGTACGAGTAGGGAAAATGGCAGCAAGAGCTCATGTGGAGTGTCATCTTCAGCAGCACTTTGAAAAGGTAATTCATTTCACATGTTGATCTCACTTGAAGTAATGCCTCAAGACTTTCCATCCTTGTACACTGTTTGAATCACTGAGGAAACTTTGAATTTCTTGAATTCCTTCCTGAGAGGAAAGTGATAAATACCATTTGTGGACTTCAGTGGATGCTGCCTTGCTAAGGAGAAGTGGTGGTGTCTTCTTTCCTGTGGAATTTAGTAAATAACTATTGCTTTAACAGAATGAGAGCACTTCCATGTGTGTAGTCTCGTTTGTCCATGAAAAATCCATCATTAGTGAAGAACTAAATATATAGGTCTTATGGTTTTGTTCAAGCTTTGTCTTATACCCCATAAGAATACTATGGAAACTTTGCGCTGGATTAATTTATTTGTTTTCTCAATATTTCCTTTTTTTAGGACAGGAAAAGTCAACTTATATGTTGTTCTATGGAAAATAACATTCAAGACATAAACCCACCAAAGTCTAACTCTTCATTACAAAAAGTAGCCTATAAACAGAGTTAATGTTTCACTGTGTTTAAAAATCTACTTAATGAAGTTGGCGCATGGGAAAACCCTGGGTTGATGACTTTTTAAACTAGGATAAGGGAGAAGAAATGGTGCTGGCTGCGGGGAAGAGCCACATGCTGTTTGATTTCAATGTCAATTAAAAAATAAGAATACTTACTACAAGATGCTAGTGCTGGTGTGAGTCAATCATATGGCTTAGCTTTTTCTCCCAAAATAAAAGTGTACTTCATATTCAGGCAAATTAAAGACAGAGGTTTGGAATGAGTTTATAAATTTTGAACTTCAGTTTCTGTAGTATGATAATGACCTAATTGCTATTTATGGATACTGACTGTAGGCTTAACCTTTCTTCTTTATGTGCCTTGTATCTTCAAAATGTAGCCTGTTCTCATAATTCAAAAACAACTGCTTTATTGCATCAGTTCCAGAAAGCAGGATACAGTTAAGTGACTGCAGTTGACACAGCTCTGCCTGCTTAATGCTACATCCTCCTTTGGCTCAGGCGGAGGCTCCAGGTCCACTGAGACAGTGTTTCCCAAAGATCTTCCCCTCTCCTGACCCTCTCCTGCCACATGCTCTTCATGTCACCCAATTAATGCAGTTGGGGGCTGTGAATGGAAGCATATGCTTTCTCTTCCTTGTCCTGTATGTTTCAATACTCAAGTGAGCTTAAAGATTTACAGGCTTTAAGATTTAATGTCTTGTTTCATGTCAGCCTTCAGGTAGTGTACTAGTGGTGGTGTTTTAATCTTTGGAGTGATTTTGCAGGAGGTGCTCACTCAAAAGGTTTTTGAAATAGTTCTGTTGACTGGTCTTATTTATTGTTTTTCTCTGTCTGACAGAAAAGGTCATTTGCACCTTCAACTCCGCTGACTGGAAGAAGATACCTAAGAGAAAAAGAAGCCATCATCACTCCTGTTGCTTCAGCAACACAAAGCGTGAGCCGGTTGCAGAACATTGTGGCTGGACTGAAAAACGCACCGAGTGAACAACTTATAGCTATTTTTGAGTAAGTATCTCCCCTGCAGCTGCTCTCCTACAAATGGAAACTCATCTTTTCATGCTTGTGACTGCTTTCTTGCTCATATTTGACTTTGTTTTTTCGGTGCAGAATATTTTTGTCTTTGTTTCTGTATTATTTCTAGTTGAAAGATCTGTTATTCAGATGGTGTCTTCTTCTGGAGAAAGGTAGCTGAACACACACACCCCCCTTCAGCTTGTCACCACCACTGTAATAAAGCAGCTTCAGATTTTGCTCATGTTAATTTAGCTGTTTTCTTGAAAGCCAAAAACTTTTTGTTTGGTTGTTTTTTTTAAATTTTAAACAAGTGTGCCTCAATTAAAAGATACTGTAACTATGTTGACAGAGGTTTTGATGGAGGAGGGATATGTTAAGAGTAAACAAGTTATAATCTGTGCCCTAAACAGTTGGGAAGATAAAACTAAAAGCAGCCTAAAGGCTCCCATTTCTTCTTCATACAACTTCAGGGTGTTTTCTAACTTTATAGCACATGTATAAGCCTCGTAATGACCCTAATTATTGTGGATGCTGATCTCTCGTATAACGCAGCAGCTGTGTTTTCACCTTCTCTAGTTGCTGTGGTGGCTGTTCCCTGAGGGTGCTGCAGCTAATCAGTTTCCTCCCTGAGCTGCAGTGTCTGTTTTGGGGCAGATGTCCCAGCAGGAGTGAGAGCATCTCACTGGGCCCTTAGAGCTGCTGTGTGGTACTGGGAAATCATAGTAAGTGACCAATGAACACCCCCCCAGTCTTTCACCATCACCTTTTCTAGGGCTGAGTCCCAGTTATAGAAACCAGCTTGTATTTTTTGACTTCTGGACACATGACTACCTGCTGGCTATAGTGAAATGCACCTGAAAATGCTGTTGCATAAGCAGATGAGTATAAACAAAATCATTTATCAGCAAAAGGTAGATCTTCGTAGCTCATAAAAAGCAATAATTTAATAATAAATACCTGTAAAGCTGTTGGGTGTTTCACTAACATCCATGCAAATTAAGGCCTTGCTATAACATGAAGTAAGGTCTCCAGATACATTTTTTTTTTTTTTTTTTTTTTTTTAAATTATTAATCAGAGTGGACATCTAGTATTAGCATTTAATATTTGATGTGCAAAAGTAATGTTTTGTTTTGGTTGCTTTGGTTTTTTTTTAAACAACCTTTATAAATTGGTGAAAAATACTACTTTTAATTCTCATCTTTGGAGTTACTTATATTTTGAAAGTTTTCCTAGCGTTTGCTCTTAAAAGTTTACAAATGCTCAGCAGGATTTCTATTCTGAATCTTTCTTTGATTGTTTTTTTAAGACTCTTTAATATTTTTTATGTTACACAATTAAAGCATTAACATGTCTGCAGTCCCTAATGAAAAATGTGTTTGTTCAAGTAATAAACCAGTCTGTCGAGAGATATAAATATTAAAATGGGGAAAAGAATTGAGTAAACTTCTGACAAGACATGTGTTGAGTACTTTTCTCACCTTGGTTGTGAGTTCAGGAAGCACTAGGGTATGTACTGCCTGATTGGGAGAAATGGAAAGAACTGTGGTTTAGACTATGTGTAACATTCTATGCTTTTGAATATATTATCCTTCAAATTAAAATTCCTTGGAAACATAACTTTGAAATTAATTAGAAAGCTTTGTTCAATGAAACCTTCATTTATTTCAATGCTAGCTTTTCAAAATAGTTTAGTGTCTTAATTTGACAGTAGTCACAAGCCACTGTCCTCTAATATAGAATTGCAAGGAGGTCTGGAAGCATTCAGAAAGGGCATCTCCAGACAGAGATTTTATGGCCCCTTTTTATGAGAGTGACTGTGGAGTTCATCAGTTCCTCTATGCCTTGCTAGAAAATAAGGTATTTTTGGAAAGATGCTGACTCTTCACTTTGAAAGCTTTCCTGTGCTCCCTCAAACCAGGCCTGGTTTGTGTGGTCTCGTGGATGCATTGGTTGGTTGGCTCCCTGTTGTAGCATCCTTCCTACCACCTTGCTCCTAGCACATATGTTTTTCTTCTGAGAGTGCTACTATAGCTCTTGCTTTCTCCTGCATTTGTTCCAAAATCTACATAGTCTCTTTTAACTCTGCTAGAAAAGGAAAAAAGGAAGGAATATTTCTGTATGTTCTATGCTTTCCTCTGTTCTCTATGTAATGCAGGTTGTTGCCTAATGAGGAAAGCTTGGTATAACTGGCCTCTCTTCTTTTTATTTGGATGGTGGGGTTTTTTTGCTTGTTTTTTTTTCTTTTTTGGGGTGGTGTTTGGTTGGTTTTTTTTAAGCTGGCTGTTTATTTATACAAACAAGGCTTTCTCTTTGGGTTCTGCTTCAGGTCTTGTGCACGCAGCCCTATGGAAAGCATTACGAGCAGAGTGAAAGAAATAGGCGAGAGGTTCTGTCGCAGCTACACTCAGTCAACAGATGAACAGCCAGGATCTCATATAGGTATGGGTGTAAAGTGTGTGAAGTGTTTCAGAATATTAAACCAGGGCAAATAAAATGCATACATATACTATTGTCTAATTATTTAATACAGTGGAGCTGTTTTTAACCCAGAACATATCTAAACAGGAAACTGCTGTAGTCAAACAGAACACTGTAAAGAACAGAAGTTTATTACAGAGTAAAACCAAAGTTGCAGTTCATAGCACCTCTTAGCAATTGTAAATTTGCATTCTTCTTCTATTTAAAATTGAAAAAGGAAACGGAATACAAATAGGAAAATTATTGTTGCAACTATCTACAAAATGACATCACTAGAAATATTAAAAAATAATATACTTCAAAACATTTCTAGAATTTTGTGCTGTTCTTGTGACTAGTGCATTTCTCAACATACTTTTTTGATTTGGAGAGTCTATGCACACGTTTGCACTGTTTTCTCAGAGAAGGACAAGTAATGGTCAATTTAGTCTTAAAACCATTTGTGCAAATCGCATTGGGCTTCATCTCTGTTGGTCTTAAATTTCAGATTTTGCTATAAACAGATTAAAACTGGCAGAGATCTTGTACTATAAAGTCTTGGAGACTATAATGGTGCAAGAAACACGAAGACTGCACGGGAAAGATCTGACTGTAAGTAAAGTACTGGCAAAAGAGGTGAACAACTTTTTGTACTCCTCTCTAGGGGGTTCTCTTCAGACAGCATCAGAACAGAGCAGTCTATAGTAAAGCAGTCTGTGTATATTGTTAATATTTTAAAAGGGGAAGTATATGGGAGGTACCTAAATATAGTTCTTACTGCTACTAAAAATGGTATGATTCTGATGTAACTAACCATCTTAATTTGTGTTGCCTTCTAGAATCATGACTTTATTGACAGAATTTTTATTCTCCTCTTTATCTAATTAACAGTATCAATACTTGATTTTAGACAGCAATGCATTTGTGCTGCTAGTCACAGTGAGTCAATTTCATAGTATGAAAAATGTGATTGTTTTGGCACTGTTAATCTGCTTCTAGCCTTTACCATTCTAAACTTTCCTGTCAAAAGAGGAGGTTGTGGTAGGTAGAAAAAAGTAGTAGCTATTCTCTCAGCAATAAGCTATGTGGTGTTAGTGCCACAAAACTCAAACTTCCCAAACATCAGATCATTGACATTTTCTGTAACCTCTTCAGGCTCTTCTGGAACAAGATGTCTTTCACCGTTCTCTCATGGCGTGCTGCTTGGAGATTGTGCTTTTTGCATACAGCTCCCCCCGTACCTTTCCCTGGATCATTGAAGTTCTTGACCTCAGGCCATTCTATTTCTATAAGGTAAAAAAAAATACTGTCTTAGGACAGATATGTATTAAAAGTGGCACATAAGAGTCTTAAAGACTCTTCCTTCCTAGGTAATCAAGTAGGAGAAGGACTGATGTTAATGTGTAATATGCCTATTCTAAATTCTGGCTGTCCTTAAATATATTACCTGGAATGTGTAATGCTGGAGTTGAAACTGAATTTAAAGGAAGAAAACCATTTTTTACATTATACTTAACTGTAATGTGCTGCAGATCAACTTTTAGTTCTTCATATATATATATATGCGCTTTTAGTAGACTAAAGCATTCAAGCATATATTTTGATGATATTCATATTTATTGACTGCAAGCTATAGTTTTGCTTATTAGTGATAAAATAGCAATAATACTCTTTGTTGCCTTTGGCTACTGCTACTTATCATAGGCTTGTTTTATTTTATATGACAACATAAAATCTCTTTTCCTGGATGTTTTCTATTTTTGCTCTTTTTTCAACCTCATTCTCTCCTGCCTCCAGTGTCATTTCTGTTCTTTGACTTGTTTGATGCTTTTATCATCTATCCATATGCCTTTTATTTTTACTAGATGCCTATCAGCTTACTACTCTAAGTCCTGAATAAATCAGAAGTAGTTCTGTTTAGATGATAACCAAAAAAAAAATTGAACCCTTTTATCCTGTTCTCTCTTCTTCCTTCTTTAATCCTCAGATGTAGGGCTATAGTGAAACTGAAACAATCTGTCTATTGCTGTGGCTCTTGGTAGCCTACATATGTCAATACCAGATGTGCCAGTGCAGATCAACTTTGTGCGAAAGATTTACATTTGATTTTAATTTTCTTTGCTCTTCAGTATACATTCTTGCAGCACTCTTAATTGAAAAAAAAAAATTGCCATCACAGAGACTTCACATGGGAGACCCAATATTTACTATTTCACTTGTGCTATTTTTAACTGTTCTTCGGGTGCTGTATTTACTTCTTTATACAACAGAAACTAAGTGCTCCAGGGAAGTTTTATGGCATTTCCATCTCTGGAGCTTTAGAAAAACAAGCTGAATGTTCCCCTGTGAGAAATAACATAAATACAGCGGATTGAGTTGGACCAGAAGAGGTAGAATAGGATATTTCAAGGGCCTTTTCAACCACGGTTTGTACGCGTTAAGTGTTCTAACCTTTTCTTAATTGAAAACTTAAGGTGCTGGTTTTCAACCTTTTTTATTATGGGCTGCTTGTTTGAAAGAAGGGAAAGCTTAAATGCTGGGGTTCTCATGCACCCAGCTGAAGTGGATACACCTGGTAATGTCTTCCTAGATCTGCATGCAGGTGGTGGGTGAGCACTGTGTGTGCTTAGTGCTTTCACTCTGTTCCTGCTTGGCGATGGTGAGAGGGAGCCGTAAAAAAAACCAAAACCAAAAAAGCCAAAAAACCCCCCAACAAACCCAAAGACAGCACCACACCAAACCCTGGGAGTGCGTTGTTCTGCATTGAGGAGACATCTGCTGTCCATATTCAACTCCTGGATTGCCATTGGGAAAGGGGGTTAAAAAAGAGAGATCAGAAGAGGGTTGGGGAAGATTAAGATGTAAGGAGGAAGCTGGAGCGTTCTACGTTGAAGAGAAGTTTCAGACAGGGTCCCGAAATGCAGAATGATTTAATAGTGTTAAGCACGAGCGATACGGCTGTGCTTTTGTGTGTGTGTCTTGTTACCATTAGGTAATTGAAGTACTGATTCGGTCTGAGGAAGGACTTTCCAGAGACATGGTGAAGCACCTCAACAGCATTGAGGAACAAATTCTTGAGAGTCTCGCCTGGACTCGGGATTCGGCACTCTGGAATGCCCTTCAGGCCTCAGAAAACAAGGTCCCAACCTGTGAAGAAGTATGTTTCCCGTTTCCCTCTTACTACAAAATTCATGCTCTCTTTTGTTACTTTTTTTTTTTTCATCATAGAATGGTTAGAGTTGGAAGGAACCTTAAAGATCATGGGCAGGGATACTAGACCAGGTTTCTTGAAGCCCCATCCAACCTGGCCTTAAACCCAGGGATGGGGCAGCCACAGCTTCTCTGGGCAACCTGGGCCAGGTTCTCACCACCCTCACACCAAACAATTTCTTCCCAATGTCTAATCTCAATCTCCCCTCTTTCTGTTTAAAACACTTCCCCCTTGTCCCATCACTCCCCTCCCTGATCCCGAGTCCCTCCCCAGCTTTCCTGGAGCCCCTTTAGGGACTGGAAGGGGCTCCAAGGTCTTCCTGGAGCCTTCTCCAGGCTGAACCCCCCCAGCTCTCTCAGCCTGTCCTCACAGTAGAGGGGCTCCTGCCCTCGCAGCATCTCCATGGCCTCCTCTGGACCTGATCCAACAGGTCCATGTTCTTCTGATGTTGGTGGCCCCAGAGCTGGAAACAGCACTGCAGGGTAGTCTCCCCAAAGTGGAGCAGAGGGGCAGAATCCCCTCCCTTGCCATGTTGCTGGGGATGCAGGCCAGGGTGCAGATCTTTTCTGGGCTATGAGCATACGTTGGCAGCTCATGTTGAGCTTCTCATCCACCAACACCCCCAAGCCCTTCTCCTCAGGGCTGCTCTCAATCCATTCTTGCCCAGTCTGGATTTGTGCTTGGAATTGCCCTGACCCACGTGCAGGAACTTGTACTTGGCCTGGTTGAACTTCATGAGGTTTGCACAGGCCCACCTCTCCAGCCTGTCCAGGTCCCTCTGCGTGGCATACCTTCGCTCCAGCATGTCGACCGTACCACACAGCTTGGTGTCATTGGCAAACTTGGTGGGAGTGCCCTCGATGCCACTGTCCATGTCACCAACAAAGATGTTAAACAGCACTGGTCACAGTACTGACCCATGAGGAACACCACTCGTCACTGGTCGCCACTTGGACATTGAGTCATTAACTGCAACCCTTTGAGTGCAGCCATCCAGCCAGTTCCTGATCCACTCAGTGGTCTGTCCATCAAATCCATGTTTTTCCAATTTAGAGACCGGGATGTTGTGCAGGACAGTGTCAAATGCTTTGCATAAGTCTGGGTAGATGAAGTCAGTTGTTCTTCCATTATCCATCAATGGTGTAACCCTGTCGTAGAAGGCCACCAAATTTGTCAGGCACAATTTGCCCTTAGTGGAGCTATGTTGGCTGTCACAAATCACCATATGCCTTACCAGCAATTCCAGGACGATCCACTCCATGATCTTGACAGGCAGAGAGGTGAGACTGGCCTGTAGTTCCTGGTCTTCCTTTTTTTCCCTATTTAAAAAACAAAATTTCTTCTGTTTTTTTTTTTATTCAGAAAACCATTCAAATGAGACAATTACTGCAGAAAAATTTGTATTAATAGATTGGCACAAAGAGGGAAAATCTATTTGTTATCTTATGTGGATGTTTCTTATTTCTCAGGTAATATTTCCCAACAATTTTGAAGCAAGCAATGGAGGAAGTGGGCTTGGGCATTTGTCTATCATGCCAATATCTCCTATAATTCATCCTCGAGTAAAAGAGGTTCGGACAGATCTTGGTGGGAGTTCAAAGCGGGGTATGTTCAAGGTTTCTGATTTGATTTGAATGTGTGAATTTGGGGAGGGAGGGTTTAGTCTTTATAACTGCAAAAAGCAACCTTGAATCTGAATTAAGCATTCAGAATTGTGAAGCCTCTTATTCGATCAAGGGAAAGTCTAGATGTATCCAGTCAAACCATTGCTGTGTCTGACTGGCAGCAGACAGTGGTGCTAATGCTTCACTTCTGAATTGGAGCAAGTTTTGCTGCTGTTTTGATGCAAGGGTTACCTTGCTCTTGCATGGGTTGTGATCTGATGGCTTATTGTCCCATGCTGGTCAGATTTTTCCAGTTTGTTGGTTTTTTTTTTTTTTTTTTCCAGTGGCTCAGTAAGTAGTAGGTGTAGACTAAACCTTTTAGCATGGCTACACACTGGCCCCTGCACCAGGTTTATAAGTAAAGGTGTAAAATAAGTTTTCTGGAATTTTCCATCAAGCCTTGAGCCTAAACTTGAGAACTGAAGCCCCCCAAAGGAGGTAAACGTTGCAGGGAGAAATTGCTTGGTGTAGCTGAGAGGGAGCTGTCAAAGGAAAGTTGGGAACTGTGTGGCTCACCTCAAGAAGAATGAAAATTGCACTCTTTCCAAAGCCAGAACAACTTGGCTATCCCAAAAACATAAATTAGGAAAGGAATTATTGCATTTACTGTACTATATACTCTTTTTTTGCATTGTTAATATTTCTACACTGAGAATATTTAGGGACAAAAAAGCTGAAAAAGGTTGGATAATCCTGGTACAGGACCGCTTGTCATACAGTGCATGATGCAGCAAACGACTGTAGAGATCTAGAAAGTTGTGCCAAATTTCTTACTTACCCAGAGCCTCAGATATCCATGAGGTACTTAATTTTGCCAACGTTAAAATGCAATCCAAAAAAATCATATTCTTAATCATAACATGGCAAAAGAGACAAAACAGGGAGATTTCTCATGTTAAGTCTGGTCACTGCAATGCTGAAGAGCCCTTGAGAATATAACCCCCTTGTTTATCTCAATCCTGTTAGATGTTTGCCTACTTAAGTACATGCGAAAATCTCTCTCTAAATGACCTACAGGTGTAAATTCCATTGGAAATCAATTACAGTTTATTTTGTTTTTGCCTAAGTGATCAATGTTCTTTTTAATATCCTACCCATAGCTTTCATGCGTGTAGAGGAAGATAACGCTCGCTTGCCTATCTTAGCTATTATGAAACTTCTATTTTTGCAGTTACTGGCATCCAAACTCACCAAGGTAACTGTGCTGAAGAAGGAATGCCGTTTTGATTGAAACTCAGTGGAAACAAACTTTGAGATTTTGCCTTTTTTTTTTCTTTCTTATTATTGGGCTTCTGAAAAAGTGACTAGTTAAAGGACCACCTCCTGCTTATCCAGCAAGGTGCTCATTCCTGAGTGCATGGAAGCTGCTAGGCAGCAATGAAGCATAATCAGAGGGAAAGCACTAAAGGCTGAGGTGCTGCAAATAGGAAACGCTTATTCTTCCCAGCACCCCAAATTGGTTTTGTCATATATAATCAAAACACAAGCTGGATATTGAACATTTGTGATTCAATAATTTGAGCTCTCCTTTAAATTGGCACAAGTAATGGGAAATGATTTTCCTGAAATCTAATGATGAAAATATTGCTGATTTTCAATGCAAAGGTACATCTGTTTTATTTACAATAATGCCCAAAGTTAACTTTAATTATTTCACTTTGCAGCTAATAAATGATCCTGGCTCAGTAATGAGGTCTTCTTACTCCTGTGCATTTCACATAAGCAGCAGGGATCATATGTTCAAGTAGATAATAATTTTTAAAGGTCCTCTATCTACTTAAAATGATAATTTTATAAGAGATGTTCATAACAGCGACCATTTTGTAGAGTATTTCCTACATGAAGCCCTTAATACTTTTAGCTTTCTGTGAAATCTATGGTTTACTTTGATATTTTTCATACTGAAAAATAGTATTTTCAACCTTTATTTTTTGGCCACAGGACTATCAATAAACAGCTATGTGATATCAGTATTGCTTGATTTTATCTCTCACCCCCGTCCCCCCCCCAGTCATGATCTATGTCTTTTTTCTGTTCTGGCTATTAAGCAGCAAGAAGGCAGCGGGCTCGGCTCGA